TCATCTTTATTGTATGTAAATATAGATAAGAGGGGAGAAAAATATTTGAGTTACCAGGGCATGGGAAATGATTTACCCTAGCAAAGTTAATAAATTATGATTTAATCATTTTCTACTAAGGTAGCACTCATAGAAAGAAAATATACATTATTGTGCCTGGTGAAACTGTAGAAGTCTAAAAAGTCTATGTAGAGTCCTGGCCTGATAGACTGGCCCCAGAGTGTTTCAGTCAGGGGTGAGCAGAGCCACAGGCTTGTGACTGGACCTGTGTTCTTGCTAGTGCCAAGCGTCCCCACCAGTGAATGCGACACAGGAGCAAAATGACACAACCACTGTTACAGTGTTTATGTTACACAAAACCAAAATACCAGTATTTATGTCAGACTTTTATTTTAAAAGTGTTCAGAATTCAGGAAATACAACAGTGTAACTAAATAATACGTTTTAAATGCAAATTTTTAAATAGATATTATAAAACATGTTTCCAATATCTAAGTGTTAGACATATATAATCACTCTAGCCTAATTTAGATAAAATTTGTTCAGTATTAGAAAAGAAATTGATACTACAGTAAATGCATAAGTTGGTTAATCATAGAAAATGGAAAATGAAAAAAAACAAAGTGCATTGATAATGTCATCATTACCATAAAAGTATTTTTTGGAGCAAATTTTTTCCAGCTGCTATAAAAGCTTTCAGTTTCTACACTGGTAGCAGAGAGGTGAACAGAGTTTTGCTCTAATTCCTAGTATTTTCTTGAGTTGTCATTTTAGAATAATCTCTCTTATTTCTTTAAAAAAAAGTAATCACAATTTTTATGGATGGCAAACTGTAGTTTCTGTTTCAAGTAAAGCATTTCTAGTTTTATCTTTATCTTTAATTTATCCTGTATGGATATAGATTAGGTACAGCTATATCAACCTAATTAATTACTCTCCCATTCACATTCCGTTTTATTGAAAGGTCTTTGAAATAGGAGTAAGATTTATGTATGTGATAGAAGGTTTAGGGGCTGGGTGTGGTGGCTCATGCCTGTGATCCCAGCACTATGGGGGGCCAAAGTGGGAAAATCACCTGAGGCTGGAGTTTGTGACCAGCCTGGACAAGGTAGTGAGACCCTGTGTGTTAGGTGATTCTTGAATTGCTATTTTAAAAAAAACCCTGAGATTGGGTAATTTATAAAGAAAAAAGTTTAATTTGTTCAACAGGCTTTACAGGAAGCATGATATGGCATCTTCTCATCTTCTGGGGAGACTTAAGGAAGCTTACAATCATAGCAGAAGGCAGAGGGGGAACAGGCACATCACATGGCAAGAGCAGGAAAGAGAGGGAGGTGCCACACACTTTTAAGTGACCAGGTCTTGTGAGAAATCACTCACTGTCAAGAGGACAGCATCAAGGGGATGGTGTTAAACCATTCACAAGAAACTGCCCCCAAGATCCAGTCATCTCCCACCAGGCTCCACCTCAAACATTGGGGATTATATTTCAACATGAAATTCGAGCAGGGACAAATATCCAACCATATCACCCTGTCTCTACAAAATAATTTAAAAATCAGCCAGACATGGTGCTGCATACCTGTAGTCCTAGCTACTCAGGAGGCTGAGGTGGGAGGATTGCTTGAGCCCAGGAGTTCGAGCTTACAGTGAGTTATTATTGCTAGTGGCACTCCAGCTTGGGTGACAGTGACACCCTGTCAAAAAAAGGTTTGGGTTGTCAATTGTTATTTTATCTTTCTTTTTGAGGAGTATAGAGTTACTCCTTCATTCTTTTCAAATTTTAATACAGCGTATAACTCTTTGCATATGTTTCAAGATGATAATTCAGCACCTTTTAGAGTATTGAATAATCACAGTAAAATAAATATACCAGAATTTCATTATTTTAACATACACCGTATACTGAACTGCCAGAATACTGAGAAAAGATATTACAATCACTAGTTGAAACCAGGAAGCCAGATTCTGTCATCAAATCCAAATAGCACAGGAAAAGCAGTAAGTGCCTATTTATTGACCACCTTTTGTGTGGTAGGGAGGTGATAGATGTTTAGTAGTGAATGAAACAGGCATGGATCTGTGTCCAGAATTGGTTCCTTCCAGTGGGTTCTTGGTCTCTCTGACTTCAAGAATGAAGCCGTAGACCCTCGCAGTGTTACAGTTCTTAAAGATGGTGTGTCCAGAGTTTCCTCCTTCGGGTGGGTTCAGGGTCTCACTTGATGTCAGGAGTGAAGCCGCAGACCTTTGCAGTGAGTGTTACAGCTCTTAAAGGTGGTGCGTCCAGAGTTGTTTGTTCCTCCTGGTGGGTTTGTGGTCTTGCTGACTTCAGGAGTGAAGCTGCAGACCTTCTCAGTGAGTGTTACAGCTTATAAAGGTAGTGCAGACCCAAAGAGTAAGGAGCAGCAAGATTTATGGTGAAGAGCAAAAGAACAAAGCTTCCACAGCGTGGAAGGACATCTGAGCAGGTTGCCGTTGCTGACTTGGGTGGCCAGCTTTTATTCCCTTATTTGGTCCCGCCCACATCCTCCTGATTGGTGCATTTACAAACCTTTAGCTAGACACAGAGCACTGATTGGTGTGTTTACAATCCTCTAGCTAGGCAGAAAAGTTCTCTAACTCCCCACCTGACCCAGAAGTCCAGCTGGCTTCACCTCTCAGATCCTCCTCAGGGAGCTTAGAATGAAGAAAGCAGAAACAGGAGACTAGCCAGGAAGGGCAGAAGCCAGGCAGACAGCGCAGCAAACTCAGATGTAAAAAACAAGGTGGGAGGAAAGGGAGAAGGTACAAGGTAATTGCCCAAAAAGGGATGCTGGTCTGGAGATGGGTGGATGCATATTACATAGAAACAAGTAGAAATCTTAATGCCCTTTGAAAAATATAAGTATAAATTTAGGTGGTGAGTTGTTTTAACAAGATATATGATCCTTGTTTGGGGTAGGGGATAGGAAAGCTCTCAAAAGCATTCTTGGGACAGGAGAGGAAATTTAAAAAGGGCCTGGATAGTAAAATGTTTAAAAGAATTACATGAGTTTTCTTAGGTGTGATAAATGGCATTATAAGTATAGAAAACAGCATTCTTATTCCGAGAAGAGGAATTTTAGCATTTAGGGGTCAAGTGTTATGATATTTGCAACTTACTTTCACAAAGTTCAACTACAATGCCAAAAACAAACTTCTGGGGAGAGAGGGAGGAAAAGAAAGAAAATATAGCAAATTTTAACTAGGTGGAATTATGTAGCTATTTGATTATACTATGCTTTCTATATATGTATGAAAATTTGTATAATAAAAAGTAGGGGGTCAAAAGATAAGCATGTGTATTAGTCTATTTTCTCACTGCTGATAAGGACATACCTGAGACTGGGCAATTTACAAAAGAAAGAGGTTTAATGGACTTACAGTTCCACGTGGCTGGGGAGGCCTCACAATCTTGGTGGAAGGCAAGGAGGAGCAAGTCACATCTTACATGGACGGCAGCAGGCAAAAAGAGAGAGCTTGTACAGGGAAACTTCCATTTTTACAACCATCAGATCTTGTGAGACTTATTCACTGTCACGAGAATAGCATGGGAAAGACCCACCCCCATGATTCAGTGATCTCCCACCAGGTTGCTCCCACAACACATGGGAATTATGGGAGCTACAAGATGAGATATGGGTGGGGACACAGAGCCAAACCATATCAGCATCCTACTCTCCTTTTGACAATGGATGAGGCAGTTGAAAGGAATACCCAGGAGAGAGGGGAAGAATGCAGGGTGTGGCCTATTATGACTTTGGGCAAATGCTTAACCTCTTTGAGCCTGAGTTTTCTTTCTCTGTTTCACAGATAATATCTACATATAGGGGTGATATGAAGATTAAGTAAGTTGAAATGTAGTGGTTAAGAGTGGTGAGTCCAAATCTCAAACTGCACTTAGTTACTAAATAACCTTGGGAAAGTTACTTTTGTGCCTCAGTTTCCTTATCTGTAAAACTGACATAATAATAGTGCCTACCTCCCAGAATTGTTGTGAAGCACAGAATTGTTCTAAAGAGCAAAGCTTAGCATGTATTAAGTATTTGATAAATATTAGCTCTCATTATTTTTGCTATCTAGGACTCAGCATCCTGAAAATAGAGAATACCCCTTCTTTTCACATGCCCATTGGACATTCACAAAAATTGAGAATTTATTATGCCCATAAAAAAAACTTCAATATATTGCAAAAAGTAGAGTGTGAGCAGAATGTTCTGAGAACAGTTCTGTAATTGCTGATATAAATAACTCTCTAAATCAACTCTTGGGTCAAAAAGGAAATAAATAAATTACAGAACACCTTCAAAATAACAATAATGGAAACCTCATATACCAGAACTTATGGTCCGCCACTAAAGGACTTTTTAGTATTACTTGTGAATACTGATACAAAAATATTGAATAAAATATGAGTAAACAAGATCCACCAACACACTCAATCATTTACCACAACCCATTGGACATGCCCATGCCTTTTCAAAAATATAAGTATATGATCCTTGTTTGGGGTAGGAGACAGGAAAGCTCTCAAAAGCATTTTTGGGACAGTGGAGGAAATTAAAATATGGACTGGATAGTAAATGTTTTTCCAACAATTTTTTTTTAGCAAATTACATCCTTATCACAACACCCTATAAAGCAGGTACTATCATTAGCCCTGTTCAACAGATAAGAAAACTGAGGTGCAGAACTTTTTTTTTTTTTTTTTTTTTGAGATGGAGCCTTGCTCTGTCGCCCAGGCTGGAGTGCAGTGGCGCAATCTCAGCTCACTGCAAGCTCCGCCTTCCGGGTTAACGCCATTCTCCTGGCTCAGCCTCCCGAGTAGCTGGGACTACAGGCACCTACCACCACGTCCGGCTAATTTTTTGATTTTTTTTTTTAGTAGAAACGGGGTTTCACCATGTTATCCAGGATGGTCTAGATCTCCTGACCTCGTGATCTGCCCGCCTCGGCCTCCCAAAGTGCTGGGTTTACAGACGTGAGCCACCGCGCCCGGGTGAGGTGCAGAAATATTAATTTGCAGATGGACACATAGGAAATGGCAAGGTCAAGAAATGAACCCAGGCAATCTGCCCCTAAAGCTCTTCCTTTTACACTCTGCGGGCTACTCTCTGAGCCATTCTCAGCTACAAAAGAGGGTTAATAATTCTTATCTCTTGTGGTGGACATGGTAAGATATGGAGCTGAGTGGGGAGAGGCATTGATGCTCTCTTTATCTGTTTCTGTACTGTTGAGTTGTTATAATGAGCATGCATTATTCATGTACTTTTTCATCAGGAAAATGTTTTTTAGGGGCCTATAAGAGCGCCTGGCACAAAGAGGCTCCCAATAAAAACATTATTATGTCTGAAAGCAAATTCAGAATTTCCATTTGACTTAATAGGAATTCATCAGCTCCAGAAGCTTGGTGAAGAAAAGAAACAAGATAGGGCAACAGCTAGAGGAGAATTCAGGTGGGAGGTTTTTACTTTCAAATGAGAAGGGCTCATACATCCTAAAGTAAGGGGTGGGAACAGAAGGAGGGAGAAGGAATTGGGAGCTGGGGGGAGAGTGGTCCTAATACCTCCCTAGATGAATTTAATTATTCGGGGAAAGGTTAATAGTGACCAGTTGTTGACATATAAGCCCCATTTCATACACACCATGAATAGGCTTCCCTGGTGTAACAAAAATGTAAATGTCATTTTGGAAAAAGACAGGAATTAAAAGAACTCTATGGCTTGCTTTCTTTATCTACCTGATTCTGGCGATGTGAGAATAGGTTTTCTGAAGAGGAGCCAACAGTTTGTTTTTCCACTTGTGGGTTACAATGGTAAAATGATTGTTGGCAGAAGAACATCTTTTCAAGCAGCTTCCCTTGGTGTAGGTCAGAGGAGTAACAAGCAGAGTTATTTCTGCAGCTGGGAAAAAGGTTCAGAGCTATCTTCCTGGAATCGGCTCTTGTTTCAGAATCTAAAATAGGTTTGAAATATTGTGCTACTTGGGAATCGGGGCCTATTCAGGCTAAGCACATCTGTTGGTAGCTGTTGAAATTCAAATAAATTCAAATAAAGTCCAAGTAATGCTCATATTACACTTACCAATTTCAAATTTTAAAAATACATATATACAAAACCTACACCCCAGTTGCTATCACTACCTAAGACACAATATGGAAAGCCTTGATTTTCTGCCAGCCATAGTTGCTTTGAACCTGAACCACAACATTTAATTCCTTTGGAAATGCCCCTTCCTCCCTACCTGAACTTTTCAACTGAGATTCATTTTCAAAAGTTTAAATATGAACTATAACAAATAGTTCTATATTTTGGTTTTGATCATTTGACAGACTTCAGTAGTTGAAATGAAGTTGTCGGACTACTGAAGTCATAAAGCCAGAATTGAGTAAATACATTTTCCTTCTTGTCATCTTTCTGTTTTTAGTAAATACAGTTTACTTAGGTGTGGTGATTAAGGAAATCTGGTCGATTTATTTATATACTGTTCCATATTCAAGGTGTCTTTTAAAAGGCAAACAAAGGACAGCAAAGTAAGGGAACTTGCCTTTTTAAATTAAACCATGACTTTCTTATAGTGATCTACCCAATGTGTGGAAAGAAGTAGAACTGGCTGGGTGCCTTGGCTGACACCTGTAATCCCAGCACGTTGGGAAGCCGAGGCAGGAAGATCACTTGAGCTCAGGAGTTCGAAACCAGCCTGGGCAACATAGTGAGACCCAGTCTCTACCAAAAAAAAAAAAAAAAAAAAATTAGCTGAGAGTAGTGGCATGTGTCTGGAGTCCCAGCTACTTGGGAGGCTGAGGTGGGAGGATGCTTGAGCCCAGGAGGTTGAGGCTGCTGTGAGCCATGTTGGCACCACTGCACTCCAGCCTGGAGCAAGACCCCATCTCAAAAAACAAAACATAGAACAATTATTTTAAGGTTGTGAGTTTTTCTTTTTTTTCTTAATAGTTAAAAATTTGAAAGGCACTTAAGTGACATATTCATGTCATAACCTGAGAGTTTACAATGTTATAAGTAGGTAGCACACTAAGCACATTACATGAATTATCTCTTAATTTAAACCTCATAATTACCCAATGAAGTTTGTGTCATCATTTCCATCTTACTTATAAATGTATCCAAGGCTTACAAATAAGTAATTTGTCCAAGGTCACACACTGAGTCAGGATTGAAACTGTGCCCATTACTCAAGTTATTAACTCTTTTGATTTTTATTATTATTTGTAGAGACAGGGTCTCCCTATGTTGCCCAGGCTGCTCTTGAATTCCTGGCCTTAAGCGATTATCCCATGTCAGCCTCCCAAAGTGCTGGGATTACAGGCATGAGCCACTGTGCCCGGCCTGAGCTGTTAACTCTTAATCTATAACAATGCCTTTTACATGAGAAACAGTAAACAGGAAGGCAGGGGATGGTAAAGAGGATATTGAAATATGTTAGGAGCTACATACAAGAAATAAATTCCCAGTTAAAATATGAAGACCTTTATCTAAATCCAGGCAAACTGCAAACTTTAAAAAGAATCATGATAAGAATAAAACATCAGGAAGGAGGAAGACAAACTGATGACACTGATATCCCAGAATAAGGCTCCAGAGACAAAGGTATAACCATCATCACATATGGTTGGTGACTCCCACAGCGCGTTCCTCACTTTGCCCAGCGCCTTTGGGAAATGTGAGTGTTCTCTGTAAAGGTTCTGGCATGGCAAAAGATCCTAACTCTAGGAAGCTCAATAACTTACCATTTGGCACTGACATCCCTGATTTCTTCTGTTTAACTTTTTTGCTATCATATATATGTTGAAAAATGCAAGTATTAAAATCAGTAATAATGTTCAATAACTAGTACAGCTGTTCCCTTGTTCCACCTCAATGTTATTTATAGAAAAGCCATTTTTCCACTATTCTGTATCAATAACAATTTTCATTTTTGTTTTTCTGTGTGTATATGTATTATGTTAAATAACAAAATTTCCCGTTTTCCTAATAATTCTAATGACTACATAACACTCTGTTGAGTTGATGCACTGTAATTTATACTGGGTATTTTCTTTCCAATTTTTTTGCTATTATAAATATCCTTCCAAGAACTTACTTATACATCTAATTTACTCGAATTTCTTCATATACAAATACTATGTTTATGTCCTCTGACCATTTATCTCTTGAGGTTTTAATATTTTTGAAGATTTGGATAAGTCCTTAAGTTGTTGTAGATACTAACTCTTCCCTGTTTCCTAATTATGTTTATCTTCTTGTGTGTTTCAATCATTGTAAGTTTTTATGTTAAAATCACTTTTTCTTGATGTTTTTAAGCTATTTTTTTCTTTGTGATTTCCATTGTTGCCACAAGCTTTTCAAAAATATTGTCTAAAGATTTCATAAATATTTGATGCATATTTCTCCTAGCTTTGCTAAAAATTAAAGGAAATATTTAACTCTTTAATGCACTACGATCTTACTCTGGTATGTACTGTAAGTGCTAATTTAAATCACTTTTTTTGTTTTGTTTTTGTGTTAGCCAGTTATCCTGGCAATTATTAAAACATAATTAACCAGGCATGGTGTTACACATCTGTAGTCCCACCTGTTTGGGAGGCTGAAATGGGAAGATCATTTGAGCTCCATAGATGAGGCTACAGTGAGCCATGATCACACAACTGCACTCCACCCTGGGTGACAGAGCGAGATATGTCTCAAAATTTTAAAAATAAAGATAAAAAATAAAAAATGAATACAATGAATGAATAAAATGTAATTACTAAATTATTTTTTCCTAATTTTGTGATAGTATATATTCAATGTATTTCTACATGTCTTACGCTGCTTTATTCAATTAGTATAAAAACTTACACTTTATGTTTTAGGATTTCCTGGGGAAATTCTGGAGACTAGAGCAGCATCATGAGTCACAGTTTCTTTGTTAGTGTGGAATTTCAATATTTAACAAACAGTAAATAACTTTACTTGGTGAAAATTGTTTTTCTGTATAATAACGTATATATCTCAATCTGTTTATCTTGTTTTGTATAGTCCATTAAAGCGTTGTACTTTTTGTACATATGGCACATACAATTCTTTATAATTTTCTTTATAAATGTCATAGTTTGAAACCACCTTTGCAGAAATGATGACAGAAACTGAGGCGGGATGCTTCTCACCTCACAGGTGGTGCTCCTTGCTCATTCCAGGGCATAGGCCAAGCTAACTATAGAAGAAATTTAGTTTATAGTTTAACTTTGAACTAAGGATGATAATAGTCCCTCCCTAAAATTGATCCCCTCCTTGTCCGGAACTGAAGCCACCTTTGTAAAACTAATGAAAGGCCACAAGATTATTATTATTGGAGGAGCCTGAATTCTGCTCAAATATAGGCATACTTTCTATAATCCCTTACTGCCCAGTACTCATGTGGCCAGAGATCACAGGATTTAAGACTTCCCCAATTGCTCCCATAGATAACATCACTATTGTAGAACATACTATTGGGTTTTTGAGATGTTTTTTTACTTTTGTATTCTGGCAACTGACCAACCCTATCCAGCCAGTGGCTCATGACTCAACCAGTGTGTCCTGTGCCCCCCCTGACCCGCCCCACCCAAAGGAGGACTCCACACCGGGATCATTTTCCATACCCCTGTGATTTCATCCCAAATCAATCAGCGGCACCCATTCCCTATCCCCCTGTGCACCAAATTATCCATAAAAACCCTAGCCCCTTATTAGAGAGACTGATTTGAGTGTTAACTCCAGCCCTTCTGCTTAGCAGCCTTGCATTAATTAAACTCTTTAACTGCAATACCATGATCTCAGTAAAGTGTTTTTTTCTGTGTCCCCCCACTCTTTTTTTGTGGCTATGTTAAATGGGATTTCTTCTCTTTTTATTAAGCTAGTGGTTACCACAATGAAGAAATCCCCTAATTACGGTGAATTCACTATAAACTTAATCACTTTGATAAACTCACATAGGCTAATAAACAGATTTCTTAGGATTTTTAGACATGCAATGCTTTCTGCAAATAATCAGTTTTCTCTCATCCCTTAATGTATCATTCTATTGTCGCAAAGTGAATCCAGTTGCCATTATTCGTGTATTAGAAAGAGTGCTAGGCTGGAGAGGCAGGAAATGTGCATGTTACTTTCAGTTCCTCAACTGAGGAAGCCGCTGATGAAGCACCTTCCCTTCATGGATCAAGCACCATGCTAGACACTTCATATCGACCATCTTGCCCAAGGCTGAGAACAAGCCTACCAAGTATACAATTATTAAATATCAGTGTTGAGGAAACTGAAGTTTATCAGATGTAGACTGCTCATGTTAAGCCCCAAGAAGCAATAAGAAATGGAACACTGAGGGGCCTAACTATGGGGGTCTGGGAATGAAAGGCTGTGGGTCTGTGGCTCTGGGCTCCTGTCACCTAGCAGGTTTATCTCTACCCAGGAGCTGCATT